CTGTCAAATACTAATGCATGAAAATCCTAACCTCAAAAAAATCACCCGTTATTTAGTTGCACGGTATAATTCAAACATTTCTAAATTTTCACAAAAAAAAAAAACATTTCGGAAGATTTCTAAACAAAATCTTGAATCGATATTTGGTAATCGCGAACCACTTTTTGAAAATTTTTTACTGTGCGAGAAGATTCCTTGTTATAAATATTACATTTAATGAACGATACAAATTTTATGGAGCCTCTGTGTTGCTCGCATATTAAGAATCAGCCATAAATTACGATAGTGTGAAATTGCGTAATTCAAATGAACACCTTAATATAAATTTTGAATTTCAAAGTGAAACTAACGGAATCATTTTGCGTTCAAACCTCGCATAAATGCGATTTGGCCTAAGTGTCTCCGGAAATTTGATTTCTAAACATCGTTGCTATAAGCCTTATACGGCAGAAAAACCTTTCCGATAGAACAGAGGTGGCGAGTATTGGTAGAAATTTAATAACAGCAACATCTTGATCGGTGTTTAAAATTTTGATCTAAGACTGTCTGTAGAAACGGAAAAAATTTTCTTCCATGAAATGTCTTTCCTCTTTATTAACTGAAGATTGTAAAGTTCGCATTGTTTTTAAATTCGAGGAATTTGCATTTGTTTAATAATTTTATATAATGCTCCCAAATGATTTGATTGTGTTATTGTACTGTTATGCAAACTCATTTCTCCACCACCTTTTTTACATTTATCTTCAGTTTTATTGGCATTTTTTTTAATAAGACCAAAACACCACTACGCGGCATTGTTAGAAGAAACGCTTTAATTTAAGAGGTGCCAGTGCAAATGAATTAAAAAAAGTCGAGAGTCGAAAGTGAAAATTGAAAAGCCGACTTAAGTCGACCTTCATAAACTGAAATTCGATCACGAAAGCTCGATTTTCTGGAGTAAAAAGTCGATTTTGGTCGAAAGTCGAAGTCGACTTTGCCATCCCTAGTGTTAAAGAATAAACTAATTAATATTCCCATTTTTTTAACCAAATAAGGAAATATTTGCCTCATTCATATGTTTTAGCGAAAAACAGCCAGTAATATTCGTTGTTAATATTTTAGAAATTCATAAAAAGCATTGTTAAAGTAAAAATGGACAGTGGAACTTTAAACATTGGAAAAATCCTAATAACCATTGAGAAGTCCCAAACGGTCAGGAAAAGTTCTGAGTCCGCAGTAAAGTCTGAGAAAAATCTCATGCCAAAAAATGTAAGGAGCAAAGAAAAAACCGGTATCATTTGTTCAAAAAAATTTAAGTCAATTAATTCATAAGAAAAGCATGTCATTCAATGACATAGTGTCCTAATGGTAGCTACAAAACAGTGGTCAGAAAATTTTTTCCAACTTCTAAAAAAAAAATGTTCTTCTAGTCTCTCTTACAAAGTTTCATCAAGATATCTCAATTATTACTTAAATGTCTCAGCCAAATTATTTGTTTAAACGGAATATCACACATGATATTTAAACTGTAGCAATTATATTAAAAACAAAGAAAACATGTCAAAAATAATTATACTTTATGGCATGCTTATAGTTTACACACACATTGCTATTCATACCATCTTCTTTTACCAAGTTATTTTTTATCTTTTTTTTTGTTTCAGCGTGATTTATGGTACCGCGGCATTGATCCCTACTTCCCCCGCGAACACTGGCATCCTTTCGATCCCATGTTGCTATCCGAAGGTGCGTTTGCTGCCGCCATGGTCTTCTCCTACTTGAAATTGGTCCATATCTTCTCCATTAATCCACATTTGGGACCCTTGCAAGTTTCTTTGGGCCGCATGATAATCGACATCATAAAATTCTTCTTTATCTACACTTTGGTTTTGTTTGCCTTCGGCTGTGGACTGAACCAGCTGCTGTGGTACTATGCGGAATTAGAGAAGAATAAGTGTTATCATTTGCATCCGGATGTGGCGGATTTCGATGATCAGGAAAAGGCTTGCACCATTTGGCGACGTTTTTCGAAGTAAGAGAAAATATAAATGCACATTTATATAAATGAAGTAGAAAAAAAGAGTTTAACAAAAGTAAATGAATGAATTAGATATTATATAATAGTACCAAGTGGACCGAGCTTTTCTTGGAGTGCACATACTTCTTAATGTTTTTAAGGTTCGAGTATCAAATACTAGTCACTTAGATAGCTTTAAAAAAATATTTTGGAAGAAAGTTTAAAAAAAAATAGATTTTGGTATCTATAAAGTACTCTAGTTTAAGTTTTAGGTGGCAACCCTATGTATACATACCAAGAAATAGCTGATTAAAATTAACAAAGTAAAAACTTATATTACATAAAAGCGTGGCAACTCTGATAGAAAATATTTTCAGACAAAAGTTTTCAACAATACCTTTCCCTTGATATTCATATTTCGATGTTTTAGATAAATTGTGTACAAATAAGTGGCAACCTTACACTAATACTTTGTATTGAGGGAAAACAATGTTTAAGAACCTTTCTCTTATTACCGATGAATAGTAATGTTGTAACTTTATTTTCTAACCAAAAAATTCAATAAATATGCCGTGCAAAATGGTGGCAACAGTATTAAAAATATTTTCGAATTAGAGATTTTTAAAATACCTTTCATTTGATGCCCATGTTATGATGTTGTAATTAATTTGTAAAAATTTCAAAAAAGTGGCAACCTTATATGAGTCTTCTCGGAGATAATATCTATTTACGAAATTTCATCAAAATCATTAGAGCCGTTTCCGAGAACCCTGTGGATATATATATTTTTATACAAGAATTGCTCGTTTAATGTAATAAGATAAGATAATAAAAAATAAAATAAATTTGGAAATAATTTTTGCATCTTTTCATACAAATTCTCTATCTTTTCATAGCCTCTTCGAAACCTCACAATCACTCTTTTGGGCTTCCTTCGGCTTAGT